ATGTTAATAATGAAATAAGTTAATTATTTTTTAATAAAAAAATCAACCTAAAACTAAATTGAGATATTTTAAAAACTAAATAAATTTTTTTTTTCAATTTAAAAATTAATTTAAAAATTCATATAATAATTGAAGCACCAGTTTAACCATTACTAAATTAAAAGCCTTAAAATACAAAATGAGTTACTAAAGTTTGATAAGTGAAGTCTGGTGACGTAACAAAAAATAGATCATGGAAGGGCTAAATAATTTTTCTCATTGTCATTTTGAAAAAAAAAAAAAAAAAAATTTCTCATTGTCAAGACAAGACCTTTAGACAAGACCTTTAATGTTTTCTTTCCTAAACTCTTGGTACGCATCTATTTGTTTTTTTAATTTTATTAGAGTCCCAGTCATGGTTCTCCGTGATTCCCGGATTGCTAGTCTCTAGTTAAAGTTTTTTCTCAAGAGAAATGATTTTTGATAATTTTTTATTATTTTTGATAATTTAGTATATTATTTAGATAATTAATTTTTTTATTTATGTAAAATTTATAATATTAAATATATCTATTTATTTAATATTATATAAAAATTATATTAAAAAATAATATAAAAATATTATTCCTAAAACACCATTTTTTTTAAAGATGATATAGGATACTTTTTATACACTTTAAAATTAATTACTCTAAGTGCACCCCCGTCAAAATGTATTTAAAAAAGGAGAAATAACATTTTACTTATTTAAGATTTAGGGATGATATATAGAAAGACTCAAAATTTTAAAATTTACATATAACATATTTATGTTTTGAGGTGGGTGCATGTAAAGAGTTAAAATTTGAAGATGTGTAAATAAGGACTTAAAGTATATATTAAGTGCACGTAACAACTTGAAGTCAGGTGAGATTGTCCTAAATATTTTTATTTTTTTTTATTTTTATTCTTTTAATTTAGGGAGTTTTTAAGAAATTTTGAGTAATTATTTGCTTGAAGTGCAAAGTTTAAGTGTTTATTATACATTTTAATATTTCAAGTCTTTATTTACATGTATTCAAAATTTTAAAATTTACATATAACATACTTATATTCTGACGTGGGTGCATATAAAAAGTTAAAATTTGAAGATGTGTAAATAAGGACTTACGTATATATTAGGTGAATATAACTACTTGAAGGTTCATGAAATTATCTTATATATCTTTGTTTTCTTTCATTTTCATTTATTTTCATTCTTTTAAGTTAAGGATTTTTTTTTAAAATTTCAAATGATTATTTGCACCAAATGCAAACCTCGAGTGTTTATTATACATTTTGATATCTCAAGTCTTTATTTACATATATTCAAAATTAGAAATATGTTACATTTTAAAACTTTCAATCTTTATATGCACTTCCCTTAAACCATTAATACCTAAATCACAATTTTTTCTTTAAAAAATTAATTTCCTTATGTGCTAATCTCCAAAACATTAACCCAGAACATGGTTTTTAAGTGTTGGGATATGAGATGTAATAATTAGTATTCCCAACAACTTTAATAGATTTAATTTCCAAATTTAATTGCCTATTTTTTTAAAGATATAATTTAATGCATTAATTTTTATTTTAACTTCGTTTCAAAAGATAATTACAATATATATTAAATAAAAAAATTTATTTAAGTGATTTAATTAGGGATAAATATAAAATTTTATCAATAAATTATTATATTTTTATTTTATTAAAAAAACTAAGTTTACTAAAAAAGAATGAAATAAGTAATTGATAAGATTTCATATCTATCAATAATTAATTATTACTCTCTTTATTTTAAAATAACTATTATTTTTTATTTTAAATTTATTTCAAATAAATTGTTTTTTTTTCAATTTTTAAAGTAAACAAATATTTTTTACTTTAATCATCTCATTATCCATTTATTTTAATTAATCATTTAATCACAAAATTTTTTTTGTCTTTTATTTGTTTTAAGAGTATTATTGATAAATACAAATATTGTTTCCAAATTCTTAATTTGGGAAAATAACAATTATTTTAGGATAAATAGAGTATCTAAATAATGGTATTTATCATTCCTTTTGCACTACAAGAATGCATGGCATCACTGACAAGAAATCATGTCAAAAACCAAAAGGAATCTCATTGCTAAAAACAATTTTCAATTTGAACCATATTGGTAATACATTTGTTGGTGTAAGCTTGCTTGATAATTCATTTACCGATGTGAATTAAAGTCACATCAGTAAATTAATCCAAATTACTAACAAAAGGCATGTCTCTAATTTGTTGTTGGAACCGTACTACTAGAGCTCATTTCAGGTAAGTCACGTCGGTAAATTGATGCAAATTACAGACAAAAAGCATGTCTCTAATCTATAGCTAGTTTACTGCACACAAGCTAATCATTGGTAAGTCACATTAGTCACTTACCAACAAAAAGATCGTATGAAAATAATCACCAACGAACCTAACGTTGGCACTATATATATTTTTATAATATACCTCATTCTTTTATCGACAAAGCTATAATTGGAAACATTCATGAGTTTGCAAAAAAAAAAAAAAAATTATAATATTCCTCATTCTTTCACTGACAAAGCAAAAAAAAATTGGTGCA